TATTTGGGGTCACAAGTTTTTGCCATGAATATTTTGTGGGTCAGAAGATAAAAAGTTTGGGAACCACTGCTCTAAAAGAACTTTCCGTTCACTCGGGGCTCAGAAAAGTGGGGGGCACGCACCGAAAGTAATCCAGTTTGCAGAAAACCTCCTTCTCTTTGATGTAGCAGCTCGCGTGGCTGCCAAGCGAGGTCTGGCACACGCTGCACGAGAGACAGCGCACATGCCAGCACAAGTCGTTCACCTACAGCAGAGATGATGAATTAGCAGAAGACAAGGGGAGGAATAAATACCAAAAAAAAAAAAAATCCCGCATCCGTGTGATCCAAAAGAAAGCGCCAGAGGAAACGAAAACATTCGAATCTTTAAGACCAATAATAATAAACTTTCAGTGTTTACCTTTAATAAGTATTTATCCACTATTTCCTCGTTGCAGCTCGCGCACACGCTCCTGCCCAGCAGKGGCGCGGAGGGCATCTCCCGAGGGGACGACGTGTCCTCATCCAGAACTTCCACCGGCGCGCCCTGCGGAGATGGCACAATTACGCACAGGAGCGTTTCCAGAGCAGCCRGCGGGAGCGCGTGCAGGACTGGGGATGTGTCTGAACTCAGGCGCGTGCTTCAGATTTTAAAGAATTTAAAGGGCGGGGGATCATAACAAAGATATAAACTTTAAACTTTTATTTGTTGTACTTTTATTTTTACTAAAAAGACGGGAAAGTTCGCAACTTGGCTGTAAATCGCGCCACGAGGGCTTGTTTTTATCTGTACATCCCGGCAGATTGATTTTAWAAACAGGAGTTAACGAGGTAGAGTAAGTGGTGTTAAAAATACAAACACATTAAAATAAAATAACTCGCAAAAATGGTCACAAATTTGCCGTAAACATACTTTTTTTACAAAGTTAAACTTGACAAAAGACATTATTCTTTAATTATTTGTCCAGTTCAAACTAAATTAGTAACTCTGAGAAAATTGTAGTACGTATAAAAAAGGAGAATTTTCCATTTCTCCTRTTGTAATAAGACAAAGTTTACCCCTCAGCCCAAAAAGCTCCATTTTAATTTAGCTGTTTTGGGTGAATAAATCCCGCTCAGCCTACCATGATGTCCCTCCTGTCCTCCGTGCACTTGCCCAGCAGCTCTCCGTCTCCTTTGCAGTCTTCACACATGACGGGGAGGATTGTCGGCGCGTGCGGAGCGCGCGGCTGCAGCTGCCCTTAAAAGCCCCGCGCGCTCCTTCCCATAAATATCATGCCTTTTTTACTTTTTCACCATGACAACGCGGCCGATTAAACCACAATGACATTTAGGAAGAGAAAGATAGCCATTACTTAGAAAAACAGACAACACTCGAGCCGACACTCCACACGCGCGCGCGCGCGCAAATATGTGTGCGTGTAACAGCAACAACAAAAAAAAAGTGATGCGCGCGCTGCCAGTTGAACACCAATTTTACGCGTCAATCAGGAGAAGCAGCGCGAGGTCTGGAGGAAAAGGGGGATTGATTTATTTAATAACAGCAATTTAAAAAGACGTGTGTGTGTGTGTGTGTGTGTGTGTGTGTGTGTGTGTGTGTGTGTGTGTG